CTCTCTCAATTTCTCACTATCAAAGATTCAGAAACCCGTTTTTCTCTTCAAAAAGTATTCTATTGATATTTAGTGAGGAAAAGGCTTTGTCATTTTAACTATAAAGATTCTTTGGTACACACAATGATGATGAAAATTGAATTGAATACTTTTGTTTGTTAAGGAAAAGGTATTTTCTTGTTTTTTTAGTGAAAAATTGTTGAGCATTGAGAAAAAAGCTGATAACTTTAAAAAGAAAAAAACAATTTAAAAGTGTAAAGCTCTTTACTTTTGTTTATTTAGTACAATCACATAAAATTAGAAATTTTTTGTTACGTTTTGAAAGATTATCCACTAAGGCCTATCTTTGACATATTTCCATCAATAGATTCGATAAGATTCAAACGTTTGAACAATCCTACCGCTTGCAATGCTGAGATGACATTAAGCAATGCCGAGATGACATTAAGCAATGCCGAGATGACATTAAGCAATGCTGAGATGACATTAAGCAATGCTCAGATGACATTAAGCATTGACGATCATTTTTAACATCATCGAAATATCATCAAGGTTTGTATGTGTACAGAAAGTGACGGCCAGGATTGTTCCAACTAGACTCTAGGACTTTGTGAGCTGGCAGAGATAAGCCAGAAAGCCAGGCTTAGGCCTGATTTCTGGCCCAGCGCCAAATTATCTCCAAGCCAGCCCAGTTCAGCCAAGCCCAGAAGCCAGTTTGGAATTGACTGTCCATGTCTTTGGAACAATCCAAACTCAAAACCAGATACATTTATGTAACAGATGAAATTTGTGATCAGTATTTTTCACAAAAGTTTGCGTGCTTTTTAGAGACCAAGTAATGTCAAGAGAAATAGAGAAATCAACTTCATTTGTATTGTTACAACTACTGTGAGCTCTTTAAAGTCAACGATGGCTTCTCTTTATTCACCTTTATTCATTGGCTCTCAAAAACTGAATAACCTTTTTAGCTTTTGAATATTTGAAATTGTTAGAGATACTCATTTTGTACTCAAATTTTAAAAAACCTACCACAGAGGTTCAGAAAATTCTCAGTGTAAGAAAAAAACTTAAGAAAAAAAGACAAAGACACACAGATGTTTTTCGAGACATCGATTTCGTTTTTTTTGCAACTAAAAACCTAAAAGAAAGAGATTGGATGGAAGACCAAGGGAAAGACTGAAACAAAAAAAAAAACGTTTCATTGCCAAGAACAAAAAAAGTGACAGGGAAAAGAGACAGGGGAAATGCGTTCAGACCCCCCAAGGAAGGGAAAAAAAGAGAAAAAAAGCACAACATATGGCCCTCTTTTAAGGGTTTTAAGCGAAAAAAAGAAGCCAACGAGCGGTCAACCGTTCGCATTTCATTATTTGAAGAGATCAAGATGGAAATGGGGACCGATTTGAAGGCTAAATATTGATTATGATTGTAAATGGATCGTGAAATCGATTGTGATTGTTTAAGTTTACTGGGGAACGCTTGGATTTTATCGCTGCAAATTTGAATTAAACCTACTGCGCTTGCTATTAGGCAAAAAAAGCTAACGAAGATTGGTAAGAAACGCCATCAAAAACAAAGCATTTGTTCATAAAAATAAAAAAAAACAACAAAAACGGGGGTGGCTACTTTGCGCGAAATTTTTTGCGCAACTGTCTGATTTGCGCAACTAGGTCGTTTGCGCAACTTGCCATAACTTTCTTCTAAGTCGGTCAATCCTTATGCTTTTGGTGTCATTTTGTTGCACTTGTTGAGATCTACAAAATGACACCAAAAGCATAAAAATTGGCTGACTTAGAAGAAAGTTATGGTGAGTTGCGCAAAAAATTTGGCGCAAGTAGCCATCCCCCAAAAAACTACAAAAAAACAACAAAAAACTACAAAAAAACAACAAAAAACAATAAAAAAACAACAAAAAACAATAAAAACCAACAAAAAAACAACAAAAAATGGGAGGTAGTCAAATGAGCGCCAACAATTGGGCGCCAATCATTTCAGCGCCAACGATTTGGCTCACGCTTATTTCAGCGCCACTCATTTGAGCGCCGTGCCAAAAATGACTGGAAAACAATCATTTGAGCGCCAAATTAAAAAGGCCTAAAAACGTTCATTTAAGCGCCGGGCCAAAAATGACTGGAAAACGTTCATTTCAGCGCGACTAAATTTTAATATTTTTGCTTTCTACGCTGCTTTTGCATGTTTTTTAGGGTTTTGCTTCTGTTTTTACACTTTTTTTCACTCATTTGACCTAGGGCACGGTAGTAGGCATCAAATGCGCGGAAAAAATTGTTAGATTAGCTCGTATTTAAGGTTTTTTTGATGAAAATGTGTAAATTTGCTAGTTGTATGATATTTTCCCCCAATAGCATGCTTTTTCACCGTTTCTTGCCGTTTTCGTTTACAATTTGCTTACAGTTAACATAGTTCTTTGCTTAGGCTCGTGAACTGCGCAAGAAGTGGCGAGACAAAGGAACACTCTGAGTCAAAGTAACGTTTTGTTCATGATTTATTTTGGTTTATTTTGCTGCCAAGAATTATTTTTATCTTTAGATGATTTAGATAAAAAAATACAGTAAAAACTTTGAGATCATGCAGAAAATGCAAAAATAACATGCATATACAGAATGGGCTGATTCGGCGCTGAAATGAATGTTTTCCAGTCATTTTTGGTGCGGCGCTGAAATGAACGCGCGCTGAAATGAACGCGCGCTGAAATGATTGGCGCTCATTTGACTACCTCCCCAAAAAATGGTTTAATTGTGGCAAAAAGTTTAATTTTGCTTTTTTTTCTCTTTGAGGTTACGGTATTCATCCACGTTTTAGTACGCCATAACTTAGAAAGCACATCTTTAATTTTCAGCTAATTTTCAAAAGCTTATAACTTTTTCTAGGCTTTATCAATTTTTATGTTTTTACTATCAAAAGACAGAGAAAAACGAGTAGAATAAAAGTAATGAATAACTTTTTTGTTTTAAGCATTTGTTTTCAAAATTTTTCACCCACAATGAAATATGGCTGAAATTTAACACTGTAAAATCAATAAAACCGGTTTTTAGAAAAATCTGAGCGCTCTGTTTGATATTTTACACGTTTTTAGCATCTTTAGAGTACACTTTTTGCTCGATATGCAAAAGTAACCTTTCTGGTGCACTTGATTATTTGATTTTCACTAAAGATCGAATGGTGAATTGATGCGTTAGAGATGATGTGTTTTTGAAATGTTTGAACACAAATGTCAACTCAATTAACAACTCAATTTGATTAACCAATGCACTTTTCATTAAAACATTTCTATTCACTGTGCCAAAGTGGTTGTGTTTTCATTTCCGGGCAAAAAGTACAAACTGAAGTAGATCTTAAGTGTTTTTTGCAAAGCATTTATCCAGTAAATATCTAGACAACTTCAAAGTTACCACAATTTTTCAAATTTCAATCGAACCGCTCAATCAAAGAGATTCTTTCTTCTTTCTTCTTTCTTCTATTCTTCTTTCTTCTATCCTTCTTCCTTCTATCCTTCTTCCTTCTATCCTTCTTTCTTCTTTCTTCTATTCTTCTTTCTTCTATCCTTCTTCCTTCTATCCTTCTTTCTTCTTTCTTCTTTTCTTCATTTCTTTTTCTAAAGCTTTTCCCTTTTTTTTCGGCCACCCAAGACGGTTCTAATCTCAGGAAATGTGGCCCCAAAGCGCTCGTATCTTGACTTTTTGTTGAACAACTTTACTCTTTCAGCCTTTGAAAGCAATCGGGAAAATGATCTTGCCTAAATTTTTGGAGTTTCGAAAGAAATTGTATTAAGTTGTAAGTTAAACTAGAGATAAAATAAGTTTCTTTTTTACATGCTGAAAAAAAGTATTCAGTGTAAAATGCACATGTGGTCCGAGTGATCAAATTGAAAATCAATTGTCTTGATAAATAATACAACAATACGTGTTTCAAAGCTCATAATAGCATCATTTTCAAATATAAAATGAAACTTCTTCTTTTTATCGCTTTCATTATATTTTCTTTAGTGCTTTTGGTCTAGATGAGAGTTTTTAAACGATTTTTATAAGATTTACCTCTAAAATTTGTCACTTTTTGCACTAAAAGATTTGCTTATTCAACCTTAGTCAACCTTATTCAACCTTAGTCAACCTTATTCAACCTTAGTCAACCTTATTCAACCTTAGTCAACCTTATTCAGCCTTATTCAACCCTTTTTCAGCCTTATTCAACCTTCATTTCATCACCACATTCGGTTAGCATTCTCTTGTAAATCCTTTAAAGCTTTATCCAGTCGGGTTCCTCATTTCAAGTATGCCATCAATTTTGTGAAAACTTAAGAAACATTTTTACAAGAAGTAGTTTTGAAAAAGACTTCAATTTGAAATAGAGATCATTTACCCTCCAAAAAGAGCAAACAAAGTTAAACTGCGGACTCGAGACCCGAGACGATTTGCCTTGTATTCTAGCCAGCTACCACTGGCCATCACTGCTTTCTCAGGTCTCTGGGAAATTTGCTTGCAAACTCGAGGTGACTTTTGAAATCCCATACAACTTTGCACACTTATAACTTTTGACAGAGTGCTCCTTTGCAGAAACGGAAAGCAGATTTGGAATCAGCGTAAAATTTTGCGTCGAATATTATATGACTCGTGTCATTTCCATACCATATTCAGTTAGCATTCCCTTGTAAAACCTTTAAAGCTTTATCCAGGGATGTACATTGGGAAATCAACTAATTTGTGCAATGGAAATTGTCATGTGGACCCGGCTGGTTATTGGATTGCTTGTTTTTAAGTTGGAAAATAAAATTTCTCAAGTTCTAGCTAGTACATTGCTTTTCAAATTCGAGTTTTTCAATAAGTTGAGTGAAGAAGCAAGTGAGAATCTTTATCGAGAACCCGCCAAAGTTTTAAATGTGAATTGCATTGTGATAAAGAAGCACAAAAAAGAGGTAAATGTATAAGAAAAGAAAAGAAAAGAAAAAACTAAGAAAAAGAAGATACAAAAAGAAAAGAAAAACTTTAAAGACTCAATCTTGTCTGCGATTTGGTGTTAAAGCCTCCATTTTGATTGCTCGAAAAAGCTCCCCAACTATTTTTATTGGAATTCGACTCGAATGAGCTGGGGAAGAAGCCGGATCCTGAAAATGAACTTAATAAAATAGCAATGTTTTGTATGATAGGATTTTGAATGTTATCTAGAAGCTATCTTAAGGAAAAATCGATGATTAGTGTAGTGATTAGTGTAAATATTGCTTGCAAAAAGCTCTTTCTCATGTTTTATCTTACGCCTCATCCTTTTTGACTGGATTTTCTATTTACTTTATCATTTCCTTTTCAAAACTTACCCATATTTCCACCAATATTCGATCCAATCATTGAATTGCTCATTCCACTGAATGAACTCATTCCAATATCATTCATGTCATTGAGAGAGTTGAAGAATTGACGACGGAAACGAGGATGAATACTAAAAGAAAATCTATGCAATAGTTGAGAAATTTGAATAGATTTTCAAAAGATGAAGTATAGATTATTCTTAAAAGAATTTTTATTGACTGATTGACAAAGGAAGCAATCAATTGGGTGAAGCAATCAAAATCTTTTGATTCAAGCTTATCCCAAAGCAACAGATTTAGCAATAACAAGTACTTAAGGACAGTAACTTTAACTCACTTTTCAGTTGGCTAAGAAAACTTAAACAGAAAGGGTTTCTATAGGTTTACTTCAGTTATTGTACTTTTGTTAGTAGAAAGTTTAGAGTTTAGAGACTTACAAATATCATAATTCAAAGCCAAAAAAACCAAAACTACTTTAAAACTCACGCATAATGTTGATACTCTTCGGGAAGAATTGTCGGATGAGACTCTTGAACATCCACAAATCCTGTAGCCATTGAAACTCCGAAAATAACCAAAAGACAAATAAGACCGAATGTTGAAGACATTGAATTTGAATTGAATTTGAAATTAACAATTGAAATGTCAATGTTCTCACTTCAAACATTGCCACCTTTTATATGAAATCCGACGCTTGTTCTCCTCTTGTCCCATCATCTCTTTATCGAATTCCAATCGATTTGCTGAATGGAAAGAATTGGGCAAATTTTACAAACAATATGCCCGATGAATCATCAAATTTTTCAATTTTTTCAATTTTCACCAAAAATCAAAATCTCTGTTATGGTTTTTGTCAAATTTCGCTTTTTACTTTTTGACAAAAATCGATTTACCGATCTTGGGATGTTTTTTTTTCACTGCTCATTGTTATCTCAAAATTTCCACCATCTTGAGCCCTTATCAACCATCATTTTAAACAAATTTGAGAGAATTTTATATAAAATTATATAAACTTTTATATAATTATATAAAATTTTATATAATTATATAAAATTTTATATAAAAATTCAATAAATATATAAAACATCATGTTTTACATAAAGAAAATTGATAAAAATCAGATTTCACATAAAAATCAAGCTTTGTTTTGTTTGTTTTCAATTTTTGAAAGTTAATTTATGGGTTGGAAGAAATAGGAAACCAAAAAAAAAAAAAATCTTAAAAATGTTGATTTAAAAGGGAACTTAAACCCAAAAAAATAAAAAAAAAAAAAAAAAAAAAAAAAAAAAAACCCAACCCACCACCCCTAAAAAAAAAAAATATAAACCAAAACCCAAAAAAAAAATTCATAAAAATCCTTAAATATTTTTATATTTTTTTTAATTGTAAATTTTTTTTTTTTTTAACCCCAAAAAAAAAAAATAGAAATAAAATATAAAAAAAATTTAAAAAATTTTTCTTATTTTTTTCTTTTTTTTTGTTTTTTTAAAAAAACAAAAAAACAAAAAAAAAAAAAATTTTTAAAAAAAAAAAAAATATTTAAAAAAAAAAAAAACATTTAAAAAAAAAAAAATTATAAAAAAAATTTTTGGGGAAAAAAAAAATTTTTAAATGCCCCCCCCACCCCCCAACAAAATAAATAAGCGTTAAATGGTTGATAAGGGCGCAAGATGGTGGAAATTTTGAGATAACAATGAAAGTTATTGCATTTTGTTTACTTTTCATCGCGCTACTAGGCTTTTCGTTTGTATAAATCGTTTGCAACAAAGAGAAACAGAAAAAAACCCCATCAATATTCTTTTTATTTTGAATTTTTGATTTAAAAAGAGAAGAGATAGATTAGATAAAAAAAATTAGAGGCAAAGGAGTTTTCAAAAAGTTTTCTTTACTTTGTATTCTAAATACAGTCGAACTTCGATATAGCAAACCTCGATACAACGAATTTGAAATTCTAAAACGTGCACAAAATTTGTGCATAGCTGCCCCAGCCAAAATGCAACCAGTGGCCGTCCAGGGCAGCTATGCAGAGAATTTGAGGCACGTTTTAGGTTTATTATATCGAAGTTCGACTGTAAAATATATGCTTTATTCAGGGGCGAATAGAAGCGAAACAGATAATCATAAACGCATACCGTATTTTCTTTAATAGTAGTGCACCCCGCCGAGCCGAGTTGGTGACTATTTTACGGTTTCCAAGCTTTTGCAGAAGCTCAACACTCAAATCCCCCACTAGATCTCATCGTCAGCTACATTTTCCGACCCCACATCGATACGTCCTGATAAGCGCTTTTCGAGATTTCGAGCAATTTAGGCAACGCTCAGGGTGCACTACTATTAGAGAAAATACGCTATAGCATATTGCTACAATACTTTCACAAAAAAGAAAGATAACTAAAAATACTACAATAAGACTAGGAAATAAAGGTACAAAAAGATTAAATATAGGGCAGATTTGACATGGTAATAAGATCTAATTCGCTTATAGATACTTTCAATTTTCCTACAGACGAGAAGATATCGAACGGGAGCTTATTCCAAACCCTACTAATACGGTTCGCAAAAGAATGATAAAGGGAAAGATGGAGATGAGAACCGACCGAAATTTGATAAAGATCACTGACGTGTACTTCTAGGAATTTCCACAATTTTTCAAGAGGCTTTGAAATTCTGGATGTAACTTAGGGTGGAAAAGAATTTTATAAAAAAAAATAATTTCAAAGTAAATACGGCGATATAAAAGGGATTTTAAATAAAAAAAAACTATAAGTCTAGTCTCATAATTTGGAATAAGAGAAGAAGGGAAACAACGAGTGTATGCTTTTTTAGTGAAACGCCGTTGAATATTTTCAACCAAGGTGATAAGTTTCTTAATGGAAGGTGACCAAGGTCGTGATGGTGGCATACTCTAGCAAAGGCCGGCAATAGGTTAGTAATATGAATAAAGTACCTTAAGGAATATGAATATGAATGTAGTACCTTAAGTTTGTTCGTTCCTGCAGGGTTGAAGGCCGGAGAACTATTTGAACTCGTTTTGTGTGAATCACATTGACGACAGAAATTTGTTCACGAAAGGGATTCATTTTGAATAATATTTCGTTTTGAATTCATTTTGAATATTCATTCCTTTAAATTTCGCAATCAAGAACAAGACACAAAACACTTTAGATGGAAATGTCTGTGAAAAAAACACAAAAGATTCTAAAAAGTAATCTAGAAGGTCCAAAAGGCACTCTGGATTGTGTTCAATAATTTAATTTTTGGAATAGCTTGACGCTTAGGTTTGGAATAGCTTGACACTTAGGTTTGGAATAGCTTGACACTTAGGTTTGGAATTTTGAATATTCATTCCTTTAAATTTCACAATCAAGAACAAGACACAAAACACTTTAGGTGGAAATGTCTGTGAAAAAAACACAAAAGATTCTAAAAAGTAATCTAGAAGGTCCAAAAGGCACTCTGGATTGTGTTCATTAATTTAATATAGTTTTAAGTTATCCCCTAATCAGCTTGCCTAATAAAAGAACCAAAAAGTCTAACGTTTTACACATTTTTGTTCCTGTTCCCCTTTTCAACAGTAATTTCACAGGACTAGAGAATTTTCCATCGAAAATCCCAAATCTCATTTCCAATTCCATCACTAAAAGACAAAAAAACCAAAAAAATGAGTTATTTAAAAAGATTTTTCTGGACCCGAATGTTAACGATTCAATTATCGGTAGTAATTGTCAAGCACTTTTCCACTCAAAAAGTCTTATTTCATTTAAAGAATTTTTCCCTGAACAAATCAAAAATTTGCAAATCATCATTTTTGGATCTTTGATTATTGAAAATATATCGTCTTTTTGGTTTTTATCTTTTTAAGATATAAACTTCAAGCTAGACTTTGATTGGCTTGTTTTGATTTGGTTTGGAATAGCTTGAGGCTTAGGTTTGGAATAGCTTGAGGCTTAGGTTTGGAATAGCTTGAGGCTTAGGTTTAGAATAGCTTGAGGCTTAGGTTTGGAATAGCTTGAGGCTTAGGTTTGGAATAGCTTGAGGCTTAGGTTTGGAATAGCTTGAGGCTTAGGTTTGGAATAGCTTGAGGCTTAGGTTTGGAATAGCTTGACGCTTGACGCGATCATTCTTGATCCAGCCGGAAGTCAGGCTCTGTCCTAGCTTTACTATAGATCCTTGGATCTAGCATTGCTATTAGTGAAAGTTAAAAGTAATTAAGGATTGTCTAAATCTAAAATAAACATGTGGGAAAAGTTTAACCATTTAAGCTTCAAATTATCTTTGATCAGCCGGAAGTCAGGTTCTGTCTTGTCCCAGCTTTACTGTAGATTCCTGTATCTGTCAGAAACTAGACCTGGATCTGGTTTCTAGCTTTGCTTTGCCTTGCCTTGCTTATCCGACTTACATAGCCTGGAACAAAGTTGACTTTGTTCTGTAGTTACTTTTCAAAATTTTAAACAAATAGAATAAAAGTATCAGAAGTGAAATCAAAAAAAACTTTCTTACACGGCTCTCAAAAATCTATAGCCTTGACTTTGCAAAGAAACAAAATTAGACTCTTATTTGAGGAAACAGCAAACAATTCAAGCCAAGAGAACTTCTAAAATAGTTAATCGATTTCAAAAAAAAACCTCGTTTACAAAATGATGAACTAGAGTGCAAATACCAATGTTAATCCCTTCTTTTTTTTTCGATTCAGCTCGTTTACGCTCTTTTTGAACGGCAACAATCAATGCTTTTGTCTCTTTTAATATAAAAAAAATTCGATACGTAAAAATTCTCATATTTCTTTTCAAAAACTATTGCTTTATAAGTACGTTTTTAACGTTTTAACTCTTAAGACTTAATGAACTTTTAGTGCTGATCCAATTGCTCAATCCATTTGCCCAATCCATTTGCCCAATCCAATTGCCCAATCCAATTCGTTTTAGAATGAAAGCTTAACTCATCCTCCTCATCCATCATCAAAATGAGCTTTTATTTATTAAAGATCTCAATTTTTCTCTTCTTGGTATTGGAAATCAATGGACAATCAGCGACTGCAGCTCCGCCAGCTGTTGATCGTAAGTAGCTTTGTTCTGTTGGGAGAAGGGCAGGCAAAACAGCCAGGATTGAATCTAGACTGACTTCTGACATGCCTGGTTGATTTTTGCATGTAATCCAAACAAAGTCTTTCCTAGAAAATGAATTTGAATTGAATTTTGTTGAGAAAGATCACCTGAAATTGTGTTCTAGTCGAGTAAAAAAGGAATTACAACAACTTTTCACCAAACTTATATCCTTACAGAAAACTCTAATCATTATTGGCTGTTTAGCAACGGCTTCAACATCACCCGTACTCCAGGCAACAACAATCCCATCATGTTCACTAAATGAGACCTTTCTTTTGTGTACAACTTGCGAGAATCAATGCAATCTTGTGGAAATGGTTTGAAATTTATTATTTATCTATTTATTTAAGTTATCTATTTATCTAATAGATATCTATTTTTCTAGGATTGCACAAACGTTTGTGGTCCAGCAATGTGTCAATGTCGAGACGGTTTCTATCGAAATTCGACCGGCAGCTGTGTTCAGGGACACGATTGTGGACTTCATAGTGAGTCGAAGGGATGGGTTTTTTCTAAAATACTTTTGAAATTGATTCAAAAGTTCAAAGCTTGTGGAAATGGTTTGAAATTTCTAAAATACTTTTGAAAACGATCGTAATCTTTCTGTTAAACAAATCTAATCGACAATTATGATTGAGAATAAATTTTAGACATCCAACAAATCCAACGGGAAATCCCAGCGACATTACCCGGTGCGAATCTGTGCAAAGATGTGTGGTGTCCAGATGGATCGAGTTGTCTTCTCATACCGCCACAAGATTGTCAAGCGAATTGCGGGGATAATGCTACATGTTTGTTTTTTTTAGCAATGATTAGTTTGCAAATCTTTCTAATCACTCTCTTTCTATCAACAATTCGTTCGATTTCAGGTACAACAGAAAACTGCATACCGGAGGCATCCTGTGTACAAGATGGTGAGGCTTTTGAGTAGTTTTTTGGCATTTTAAACTATCTTTAGAATTGTTGAAAGCTTTAATTAGGTAAATTTTCTAAAATCTATTATATTTATCTATTCTAAATCGAAAACTAATCATACAAATTTTAGTGCTGATCGTCTACTATGAACACTCGAATATGAGCTGTCCGGGAAATGAAACGTGGATGGATTGCAGCTCGGATTGTGAAAACACGTGTTTCGTTACTCAACAAGTAAAGCATTTGCCTTAAATTCTCGAATCTCTTTTCTAGAATTGCTCGAATATTTGTGGTCTTCCAAAATGTCAATGTCAAGATGGATACTATCGAAATATGACAGGCTACTGCGTTCAGGGACACGATTGTAATCAAGATCTTTCCGTCACACAATGTAATCTAGTATCATAGACATCTAGATATATTCTAGAAATCCTTTAATGATTCTTTAACATTTCAAATTTCTAGTGCCAAGCACGGAGAGCATTGCGACCGGTTGTGATTTCATTGCGTGCACGAATGGAACGATTTGCAAGATGACAGAATCAAAAGCGGAATGTGTTCTAAATGTGACACATAGTTGGTTTAATTTCTAGTGCCAAGCACGGAGAGCATTGCGACCTGCTTTGGGTCGCAATGCTCTCCGTGCTCTGGTTTAATAAAAATCGATATTTCCATAAAATCAATACAATATTTTTGTTACTTATCCACAGTACTGGACAATGAAATATCATATATTTGAAAAACGATCGTCACTTTCGCACGTCTGCAACTCCCTTGTCTTTACCGTATTTCTAAATATTAATATTACCATTGTGTAGCCATTGAAAAGAGCTTTCAGAAAATGTATCACACTAATAGTTTAAACTCAAAGACAAGGAAGTTACAGACGTGCGAACGGGACAATCGTTTTTCAAATATATGATATTTCATTGTCCAGTACTGTAACTTGTTCAGCTTGTGCAATGAATGAGGGTTGGAAGGATTGCGCGAGTCAATGCGAACCGTCATGTGAAACGCATGAACCAGTGAGGCAAATTGAAATTGTTCAAATTGTTGTACTAAAAACTGTTGTACTAATTGTTGTTGCAAATTGTTGTACTAAAAACGAACTTTACCTCACTAACTAAAATGATTTTGATATTCTTTACATAATGATATGATGATTTGGTTTATAACAGGCTTGTGCTGCCATCTGTGCCCCATCAGCTTGTCAATGTCTCGGTGGTTTCTTCCGTAATGGAAATGGATCATGTGTGGTGCTTGGGGATTGCACTGCTGCATATCCAAGTAGGCATATTTTAAGTAAAATCTTATATCTTATCTTGTAATGCATTGTAATCCTCTATGAACTGAAAAACAACTTTAGCGTGTGGAGCAAACGAAGTTGTGAAAGCGTGTGGGACGAGTTGTGAAGCAACATGTGAGAATCCATTCCTTGTAAGTGATCTGACTTCCTTGTCTTTCCTTTCTTTCTTTTGGTAATTCAAGGTACTAAATAGCTTAGGGGTTAGAGTGATTGATTGGGAAGGAAAAGGTCGACACCGAGGTTAAGGGTTCAATCCGGCTTCAATCCGGCTTCAATCCTCTCCCGAAATCTACTTTTTCTTTCCAATCTCTTTATTTCTTTATTACTGCTGAACACATATTGAACTCAACAATAACTGAATCCTTTCAGCAATGCGATGAAGACTGTGTTGACTATGCGCAAACGTGTCAGTGTAGCTCAAATTTTGTGCGAGATCCTCTCGGTGATTGTGTCTCCATGCTCCAATGCAATGGTATCCATTAACTGAATATCTTATTGACGATGTGATCGTAGGTTACGAATAACTCTGTGCAACTTTGAGTTCAAGAAAATAGAAACCCAATCAATCTGGCGCACTAAACTTTGCTGTGACAAAACGAAAAAAAAAGAAAGAGTTTAGTGTGTCAGAACAAGTGCGTTACAATCTTAAGCACAAAGAATACCATAATAAAGAAATTGAAGTCACTTTCTTTATGTAAAATTATCCTTCAGAATCATTGCCCACAAATTGCTCTACAGTCACTTGTCCGCTCAACAAAGTGTGCAATATTGTGAATGGATTTGCGAGATGTGTCGTAGAACCAAGTAATTCAGAAAAAAAAGGAATCAAACCTGATCTACGAAATTCAGTCCCAGAAACTACCCTTGCTAGCACAACGACAGCATACGATCCATTTGCTACAGTAATCACGACAATTGCGACAACATTGATGACTGAGCATCAAACATCACCGGTGACAGGAGAAGGAATCACTGGAGATCCTGGTTTCCCGACTGAATCTAGTAAGTGATCTTTTGAGTCAGATTTGTACCGAAAATTTTCCTCGTCTTTGCTAACTTTATCCTGCAAAAAATGTACACATTTTGATGGTTAGTCCGCCAGAAGAGCTGTGTTTTCAGTTTCAATTTTCAGCCACAATCAACCCGTCGACCAATTTCGCCACCGAACAAACCCTTGACACTGTGGGAACGTTTGGCACTGGGGCAACTGATGCTTCGAGTGGGTGAAACTTTTCTTACATATTGAGAATATTGAGAATAGTATATTGAGAATAGTATATTGAGAATAGTATATTGAGAATATTATATTGAGAATAGTATTTTGAGAATAGTACATTGAGAATAGTATTTTGAGACAAGTATAAAGAAAATCAGTTCTGGTACAAGTAAATTTGTAGTAAAGAACTTTCAAATTTCCCTGTAATTGTTTATCTTTTGATCTATAAACATAAAACTTTAGCAACGATGGGCTCAACTGAAACCACAATTGATTTCACTGGGACAACCATCACAGGTACAGGAAATACAACAAAAAAAACCGATCACCACTGGAAATTCAACTGAAACTGGGTGAAACTTGTCTTACCGTACCCCTTAATGGTATTTTGAGACAAGTATAGAGTACTGGTACAAGTTGATTTGAGAACTTTCAAAGTGTAGTAGAGAACTTTCAAATTTCTGTGTAATTGTTTATCTTTTGATCTATAAACATAAAACTTTAGCAACGATGGGCCCAACTGAAACCACAATTGATTTCACTGGGTTCACTGGGATTTCAACCATCGCAGGGACAGGAAATACAACAAAAAACCCGATCACCACTGGAAATTCTACTGAAAATGGTACCACGAAATCACCGAATCCTTGCGGGAAACATGAACGTGAAACAAAATGCAAATTTTGTGAGGAAACTTGTCGAGGAGTTAAGGTAACAAACTTAAACAAAACGAAAAGATTTGGAAAGATTTGGAAAGATTTTTCAGGTGTGCACGGCGACTCCCACAGTTTGCACAAAGGGTTGCATTTGTGCGTATGGCTTTGTGCGAAATTCGAAAATGAAATGCATCAAAAGGACACAGTGCTCAAAAAGTTGTTTTAGATATTTTGAATAATGGTAAACAGATCGAATTCATTCAGATCCGGGTTGTCAAGCAAATGAAACATGGAGTACATGTTTATCAAACGAGCAAAAGTGTGACATTGTTGCGAACAACACGGTAGGATAAGAAATTTTGTTAAAAAAAATGATAAAGAATCTGAATTTTCTCAAGCTTTTTGTGATTCTTTCCTAAGTTTCTTTATAGTTTTTTAAGACTTGTTTAGGTTAGATTTTTCTTGAACTATTAGATTGGCAACTTGAAAATTGGTACACTTATTTATTTGCGCTTTTTCAAAATCACTAATGCACCAATTGACAAGTTTTGTATAAATTTTGGCATCGCTATATCGTAGACAATGGATCCGGACTGCCAAATAAAGCTCATTAAAGTAGAATTATCCTTTTTCTACAATTTTTGATCAATAAAAAAGCCTCATTTATTCTCTAAAACAAGCTTTTGATAGATTTAGAAAAGCTTTCATTTTATAGATTTCTAGGGGGCAAAAAGTTGAGAAACCAAAAATGATGAACACTCGATGAAGCGATTTGAGCACTTTCTTTCACATAAACCTATTTTAATGTCAATAAAAAAAGAAAGAGCATAAAAAGTTAGATAAATAACCAAATTTTTAGGTAAATATAATCAATCGTTTTTATTATAGTTTCATTTGAAGAATTTTCAGAAAAAAAACTTGAATTTCTGCTCTAATTCATTTCAAAAGTTACCCAAATTTGCTTAAGCACTTTTAAAATTAAATATTATATACCGTATTTTCTCTAATAGTAGTGCACCCTGAGCGTCGCCTAAATTCCTCGAAATCTCGAGAGCCGCTTATCAGAACCTATCGATGCGGGGTCGGAAAATGTAGCTGACGATGAGATCTATTGGGGGATTTGAGTGTTGAGCTTCTGGGAAAACTTGGAAACTGTAAAATCGTCATCAATTCGGCTCACCGGGAAATATTAGAGAAATAGATCAGTCTGATCTACTAGCCTAACCTGGAATAATATACCGTCTTCTCTCCAATAGTAGTGCACCCTGATCGTCGTCTAAATTCCTCGAAATCTCGAAAGCCGCTTATCTGAACATATCGATGTGGAAATGTAGCTGACGATGAGATCTATTGGGGGATTTAAGTGTTGAGCTTCTGCAAAAGCTTGGAAACGTAAAATCATCACCAACTCGGCTCGGCGGGGTGCACTACTATTAGAAAGAATACGGTAGCTTTTATTTCGAAAAGTTTAATTCAATTGACGTTTTAAATATGTTTTATGGAAAAGACGAAATAGTGTACCAACTTTCAAGTTGTCAACCTAATAGTTTGTCTCCTTTTTTGGATTGAATCTAGTGTCAGCTTTCTATTGCTACCATAAGAAATAGCACAATAGCTGTAGTATCTGTGCATTACACAAAAATAGTTATTATTCTTTTCTGAATACTCTATAGTATTCACTCACTCATATTTGTCTCTCAACTCAACTTTAATTCAATTGACTTATTAAATATGTTTTATGAAAAAGACGAAATAGTGTACCAACTTTCAAGTTGTCAATCTAATAGTTTTTTTTCGTTTTTTGGATTCAATCTATTTCAATCTATAGAATCAATCAATTGAATCAATCAATTGAATCAATCAATTGAATCAATCAATTGAATCAATCAATTGAATCAATCTATAGAATCAATCTATAGAATCAATCTATAGAATCAATCTATAGAATCAATCTATAGAATCAATCTATAGAATCAATCTATAGAATCAATCTATAGAATCAATCTATAGAATCAATCTATTCAAATCTCTAATCGGATTCATTCAATCATCGGCCGGATTCAAAGCCGGCAAAAGATTAAAGTTTTTGAAAATTTTGTTTTTGATAACTTTTGAATGAATTGATCAGTTTTAGATTCCAATCATCGGTCAGCAATGTTTTGGAGGTTGTGGATGTGTTGGAAACTTTTCGCGGAATTCTGTTGGCGAATGTGTCACTCCCGAGAGTTGTTCTTAATAAATTCGGATTTTTTAAGAGAAAAACGACTTTTCTTTTCTCATTTTCTTTGTCATGTATAGTTTTATGTTAATAAAAAATAAGAAGAAGAAGAATATCTCAATTTAGCTTTAAACTGCAGTATAAAGGTGCCAAAAATTTCTTTCTTTTTCGATTTCAAGTGGATATTAGCTTGGATCACTTTGTGTTCCAAAGAGACTACAAATTTTTTTTCATTTTCACTTTTCAAAAGTTTCATTCTTTTTTTTCTTTGCTTCTTCTGCTTTGCTTTTTCCCATTCTTCTTCCATTTCCCTATTGCTTTCATTTCCTCATTTTGTTGGTCAAATTCTCGTAAAAAAAAGAAAGAAAACGTTCTCTTCTGACTTCAAGATTCGGGTTTTCCCTCAAAATTTGAAGAAAAAGTGTGAAACTAGAATGAATTAGTATAGCTAGATGATTTCCTTTTTGCTTTATATCATAGACTTTTCAGTCCTTTACCAAAATACGAAACTAGTTTATAAATATAAAATTGATGAAGTGTCAAATTCACTTGTGAACTTTCTAATAGCTAGCAAGACTTGTGCTTATGGAATCTTGGATCTATCTATTGTATCTATTGTAATTGGAATATCTATTGTATTCCAATGGAATATCGATTGTATTCCAATGGAATATCTATTGTATTCCAATGGAATATCTATTGTTTTCCCAATGGAATACCTATTGTTTTCCAATGGAATATCGATTGTATTCCCATGGAATACCTATTGTTTTCCAATGGAATATCTATTGTATTCCAATGGAATATCTATTGTTTTCCAATGGAATATCTATTGTATTCCAATGGAATATCGATTGTATTCCAATGGAATATCGATTGTAAACCTGTTAAAATCTCTCTTAAATCTTTCTTTAAATAATCTATGCTATGTGCTAAACAAAGATCTCTTTAAAGCATAACAAAAAGAAAAGGCTTTCAATTGTTTTATAAATGAAATTCTTAGCTCAACCTTCTGCTTTGTAAGCAAAATTTCACGAAAATCTTTTCGAATTCTCATTTCAGAAATTTTTCAAACTTTTCTTTTCATCAAACATCTCATCCTTTTCGTGTTCTTGGAGCTTTTCTCTATCATGTTCTTGGAGCGAATAGCTCTTTATTTGAAAAAATAAGATAACGAATATTTAGCCAATCACTCTTCTTCTTCTTTTCCATTTTCTTAGTCTTAAAATTTGAAAATCGAAAGTTGAATGCAATCTTTGAAACTAGAATTTGATCTTCAAAGATCAACAAACATTTTTTTTTCATTTTTCATAAAAGAACTCCATTTATTAAACTCAATTTCGAGCTTTTCTCGGAAAAGCACAAAATTTTTGTCTCTAAATTTCTCCACTTTCAAAAATTTCACGTTTTTTCGTGCTCTGTTCGAAATTTTTGCGCTTTTTTTCTCTGTCTTCTTTAAACCAAAAAAAATTCTCTATCGAATAATTGTGGTTGGATGAGAGAAAGGGTGACATTATGAGGGAGAAATAAAAGAAATAAAAGAAAAATAAAAGAATCCAACAATCGCCCATTTCACATTCGATTCGAATTCTTGAAATGTGTAAACGCTGGCTTCAATTACGTTAGTCTGATGTTTGTTTCTTTTTTTGGCTAAAGACGATCTTTCAAACATTTACTTACTCTGAACCCTAAAAAGGAATAATTTGAATGACTTTTGATGTACAGTACTGGACAATGAAATATCATATATTTGAAAAACGATCATCACTTTCGCGCGTCTGTAACTCTCCTTGTCTTTACCGTATTTCTAAATATTGATATTACCATTGTGTAGCCCTTGAAAAGAGCTTTCAGAAAATGTATAACACTAGCACAAGCACCACACATGATCCATTTCCATTACGGAAGAAACCACCGAGACATTGGCAAGCTGATGGGGCACAGATGGCAGCACAAGCCTGTTATAAACCAAATCATCATATCATTATGTAAGGAATATCAAAATCATTTTAGTTAGTGAGGTAAATTTCGTTTTTAGTACAACAATTTGCAACAACAATTAGTACAACAGTTTTTAGTACAACAATTTGAACAATTTCAATTTGCCTCACTGGTTCATGCGTTTCACATGACGGTTCGCATTGACTCGCGCAATCCTTCCAACCCTCATTCATTGCACAAGCTGAACAAGTTACAGTACTGGACAATGAAATATCATATATTTGAAAAACGATCGTCCCGTTCGCACGTCTGTAACTTCCTTGTCTTTGAGTTTAAACTATTAGTGTTATACATTTTCTGAAAGCTCTTTTCAATGGCTACACAATGGTAATATTAATATTTAGAAATACGGTGAAGACAAAGGAGTTACAGACGTGCGAAAGTGACGATCGTTTTTCAAATATGATATTTCATCGTCCAGTAGTGTACTTTGAGTGCAACAACGGAAACAAACCCTTTTTGGGTAACACTTGATGACCTTTCTGCTACGACCTTCTTGATTAGTGACTAGTGTGTCAGAAAAGGTGGGTTTACAATGTACACAAGTACAGATCGGTTTCATATTTGTTTCTATTGATAGAAGCAAACCCTATCTGGCACACGAACCGATCCTAGCGATAGAAAATAGTTTAGCCAAAAGAATAGGATTTATTTGATTGTTTATCATTTCTAAATTATATTTAAAACAAAGATAAACATCTTAGATTCAAGTTTAAAAAACTTTCAACGCTTTTTGGCTAATTTAAGTACATTTTAAGTACATTTTAAGTACATTTAAGTACTAAAACAAAGTGTTCCACTTAGTTAGAAACTTTTAAATTACAATCATTTTACTCTAATTTAAATTTACAGCAAGAAAGAGTAGCTTTAGATGTTTAAACTCATCTAAATCTTTAAAGAAAAGAGTATCGAGAAGATCTGTGAACATCATCTCATCGAAAATAGAATTTCTTCAATCATCCACTCATTTTCCTTTCCCAGAAATATCTTTGTCATAAGCATTTCTCTATTTTTGCATTACATTTTTTCTTTGGTTCTTAATGAATGATTGAAGCGAGTCCGCATTTTTGTTCTCCACGTCAGAAATGGCCGAAAAAAAAATTGATACGCGAAAATTTTGAGAACAAAGGAAATGCCTCAAAATTGTCATTGAATGAAATGCAAATTTTGTTTTTGTTTGTGAGAGATGATGTTTGAGTTCTGGAAAGTACAAGGCTTTCTTTTGTTTCTACGTTTTGAAGCTAGCTTGTTTGAGTTTTTAGCTTGAAAAAAAAAACCGTCCTTGATTGAGCTTTACAAATCTCTAGCCTAGTGAACAGAAGCAGACTTTTTACCGCCCTTAAGTCTTATCTAGATCTGATATCTTGATCCAGTCGATTAAAAGAATAAAATAACAACCGAAAATTACGATATCTTAACAAATCCGATCTTATTAGAATCCGATCTGATTAGAATCTGCTCATATTTGGATCCGATCATATTAGAAACCAATCATATTAGAAACCAATCATATTAGAATCCGATTATATTAGAATCCGATCTTATTAGAAACTGCTCATATTTGGATCCGACCATCTTTGGATCCGATCATATTAGTATCCGATCACCTTTGGATTCGATCATATTAGAATCCGATCTTATAATCCGATTATATTAGAATCCGATCTTATTTGGCTCCGATCATATTTGGATCCGATCTGATTAGAATCTGCTCATATTTGGATCCGATCATATTAGAAACCAATCATATTAGAATCCGATTATATTAGAATCCGATTATATTAGAATCCGATCTTATTAGAAACTGCTCATATTTGGATCCGACCATCTTTGGATCCGATCATATTAGTATCCGATCACCTTTGGATTCGATCATATTAGAATCCGATCATATCATATTAGAGACTTGCAGTAATCCAAGATGATGCTTGCTTACAATTAGTGTGCTCCTTTATAGTAAAACCTTTCTAAAACATATGAACTTTTGAAAACTACCGTAATCTTATATTTAGATTATTTCTAGTCTATATAATTTTTGAATCTTTCAGTATCTTTTGTAAATTTCCAATTAGAAAAATGAATAGACTTGTAGGAAACAGGGTTGCCGTAGCTTTTGAAGGTGACACGTTTTAAAAAACGCTTTACTGCTTTATGCTTTACTTTTATGAAACCTCACCCTCCTACTCTCCCATCGACGTCTCTGTTATGATCTCAGCAGTAAATTCCATCATTGAAAAAGAAATCCTCTAGCCTTTTTCTTCTTTTTAATCAAAAGTAGAAAATAACATCAAGCAAAACTCAAGCTTTTCATGCGTGAATTTATAAAAAGTGAGACACAAAATCCAATTATTAGTCTCAAGCGTCCTTCCCTCCTTTCCCCCTTTTTTTTCCAATCTCAGAGACACATCTGTCCATAAATTCATTTGCTTTTCATCACCAGCATTTTCTCTCTTCTGATTTCTCTTCTTTCTTTCATATTCATCTCAGATTTCTTCTCTTTTTTTTTTATGAAATTAAGAGTTCAGAGCTCTTTCCCCTCCCATGCTCTCTCAGGTCGGATAATTTTGGTTTTTCTTGCGTCTCTCAAGTCTTTTTTCTGAACTCATCAAGTTTCATTATCATTTTGTCTAGCTTTTTGATATTGCATGCAATATTTGCTGTACCTACCGTAAATACTGTAATAGTAACCCACCGCCATAATGACGGTGCGGAGTGTTGCGTAGTCTAGCTTTGAACGAGTTTTCCTCGACACTGGTTTATGCTACAATGCGCGCTTAGGTATCAAAAAATAGCTGAAATTCAGGGCTATTTTTTGATACCAAAAACGCATTTTTTGAAAGTACGGGCGCTTTGCAAAAAAATGAAATACTAAAAACTACTTGCGACTTTTGCGACTACGCGACTGTACGAGGGCGGTGGGGTACTATTACAGTATTTACGGTTGGCTATTAATAAAGAACTTCTGATGGATTAGGGTATTAAAATAAAAAACTTTGTTTTGATGAAATTGAAAT